GACACGAAAAAAGACAAAAAAAGGAAAAAAAAAAAAACACTCTCCTGGGATCCATGACCCCGCATTCTTCTCCATCTCTGGCAGCTCCTGCTGTCTCCTCTGCATGACCTTCTTCCTGACATATCTGAGTGTTGCTATTACTCAGCCCTCCATGGTAGGCTCTTTTGTCTTCTCTCTCTACACACATTCTCTAGATATCACTTCTGGGGCCTCGATCAGTATGTGTATTATCAGCAGTTTTTAACTGAGTTTTATTTTCCTTGGAGTGGGGTACGGGGAAGAGGCATCCCCGAATGAACTTTAAGAGGTCCATAAATGCCCTTCCATATGTTCGGGCATATATAATTATTTGATGTTCACAAGAACCCAAGAGTTAAGAACTGTTGATCTATATGCTGATAACTCCCCAAAGTACACCCACCACAGATTTCTCTCAATGCCTTCAGCCAGTCGCACTCTGATATTTCATAAGTACTTCAAACTCAGCAAGTCCAGCACCAAACTCTTACAACCCCTCCCACCACCACCACCAAAACAAACAAAAACTTGTTTTCCTCTGCTATTCCTATCGCGTAAAAGATACTACCTAATCCTCTTCTTAAACCTTGGTAATGAGTACAGAGCTATTCATTTTATTTTTATTCTTTTAAAACTACACAGATTAATTTCCTTTACTCTTCTGTATGTGGCATATGAGTATTTTCCTATAAAAAAGGTTAATACATTGTCTCTGGTTAGATTGAAAAAACAGAGTATTTTGTAGCAAATGGAACTTGGGAAATATTTTATTCTTTCCTTTTACTAAATATCAAAACTAATGTCCAATTTTTTCCAATGTCATATGACTAGTCTTTTCAGAGCTGGGACCAGAACCTAGGCCTCCTAACTTTTATTCTGGTAATCTTTCCCTAAAATTCACTGCCGTACTAACTCAATTAGTTTGAAATGTTTAAGATCAAGCTGCAACTAATGATCATGAATTTGCCATTATCACTATTATTCCTCAGAACGATGATCTTTGTTGATAACAATGGGTGAAACATTCCCTAAATTTCTAAACAATAACAAATATGAAAATTTATTATTTTTAACAATTCTCAAAGATAAATATCTTTTTTAACGTTCCAGATTTGCCATGTAGAAAAATCCTACCACTTCTCCTACTTTTGGGGGTGGGTGGAGAAGAAGGGTTAAGTGGGTGAAGAGAAGGGAATACCTGATATTCACTGAGTGTATATTTGTACTAGACACTTTTGCGGAGACTTTTACCTGCACCAATATTTCATCCTCAATCCAATCATATTCAGTAATATAATCATCATTTTACTGACAATACACTGAAACTCAACAAGGCTAAGTAAATTGTCTAAGGTAAATGGCAAGCCTGTGATTCAAACCCCAGTTGACTGACTTCCTAACAAGGGTTTTTCTAAGTATACCATGCTGGTATGCATCCTGGTTATCATGATATGACTCTAACGTCTTTCTACCTACAGGCAAAGTATCACTCATGAGGGTACCTTGGATTCTTCTTGAGGTTTGCCCACACATACAAGGTAACATTTTCATCTCGAATGATTTTTTCCATGTTTCCACTGTCCAGATCTGCTAAAGTACTAGCTTGCTGTAAGGGAAAAAGAAAACATTATAAAGGGCAAGAGACCTCATAAATTATACAACTTAAATAAGTTATTTTATCACATATGTGTTGGGTTCCCTTCATTACTGAATTACCTAAAAGAGTAACATGGATAAAAATGAGGTTCAGTCAAAATGACAAAGAATTATAAAACAAACAAACAAACAAACTCTTTCAAGGATGCAAATTTATTTACTTAATTAAACATGTCTCTCCTTTTTCTACTCAGTTTCTCTTAAAGTGTCCAAGGATTGAAGTTGTTCCTATATTCTCAAGGAGCACGTGTAGATTACTATTGTTACCCTTTTCAATTTTAACATCTCTGTACCCTCCTGTATTTCTGTTGCTTATAACGAAATACATGGAACTGGGTGATTTATACAGAAAACGAAATTTATTGCTTACAGTTTCTGAGGCTGAGGAGTCCAAAGTCCATCTGGTGGTGGTGACAGTGACCCAGGGGTCTCACATTGCAAGGTGGTAGAAGCAGAGAGAGCAGAGAGAGAGAGAAAGACAGACTCTCCTCTTCTTTT